TGAAAGTCCACCACGGGGACCCCCGAGCTCGCCTACAAAAATCAGCCACACGTCAAAAACAAACATAAGGGCCAGGGAAGAGCCACCAAAGAAAGTACACAAACACTACTTACCTCAGCAGCCTGTACAGCAGGCTCAGCAGTCCGAGCTTCCCCAGCAGTACGTGTCACCACCTCGACAGCATTTCCTGCCTGCGAAAAATCCCCCCTAAAGTCAGGTAACCAACCAATACAGCAAAGGGTAGATGAAAAGCTTAAAGAACGAAAAACTCACCACCTCGGCAACTTGAGCAACATGCTCAGTTACCTGATCTCCCGTTCCGGCAGCAACCACCCCGACCTGCAAAAGGAACCAACCAACCTCAATAAGTCTAACCTAGTCAAAAAGAGACACTCGGAAAAGCGAGATCGCTACCTCGGCAGCCTGTATGGCAGGCTCAGCATTCCGAGCCACCTCTTCAGCAACCACCTGGGACGGCAAACTCTCAGTGAGACCCACCGCGTTAACATCAGTGGTTCGGGAGGTCGCCTCGTCGGCACCCGAAGGGACAGAAGGCCCAGGAGCCCCTTTCTCCTCCCTCCTCCTCTTCCAGCTAGCTTTGGGAAGGGGAGCCTCCTCCTCTGGGTGGTCGGGAGCCTCGAGCTCAGCAACTTTGTAACGATGCTTAAGCTCCTTCCACAACTTTCCCATATGGCCTGCAAAATAAAAGAGGGAAATTTGAAGAAAAACAGAAAAACAAATCATCCGGCGACCAACCGAAGGCAAAATACTCACTCTCTAGATCCCTCTCCCTGTGCGCTGACCTCTCGAGCGACAGGATGAACTTGCAATCCAGCGGCCGAGGAAGCGCCTCAAGATCTTTGATGGCTACCAACTCCGCAGCCGTCAACGTCGATTGGTCCACCCCATGAAACCTAGACGGTTTGGGGCACCAATAAAATGGGAACTTCGGCAACCCACCGAAGTAGAATGCACCATCCTCCATCGGATCGACATCCACTAAGGCGACCCGGAAAAACTCCTGTTTGAAGTTTTTATACGATTGGGAGTAGAGGGTGAACAAACCTCCACCCTTACCCCCATTCAGCGACAAAATACCGTAAGGAGGGACACCCAGCTTCAGCTGGTAAAAATGAAGAAAGACGGGAAGAGACACCTCTATCCCTAAAACTGTACAAAGGACCTCGAAGGCCCGCAAAAAACCCCAGCTATTGGGATGCAACTGACAGGGAGCCGCATTGACGTGACTCAAGAAATCACACTCAAACTGAGTGAAAGGGAGACGGACACCTAGATCCCTGAAGAAACACCAAAACATATAGAAGTGGGGAGAGTCAGTCGACTTCCCCATAAACACACCTTCTCTGGCCTGGCAAGGGTCAAGCCGGAGCATTGAAGAAACGGAGGGGTCGCAAACCCGCCCCGTTTCCCAAACGGCGTCAACATCAGAGCGCGAGCGGAACACACTCTCAACCCCAGCCACGTCGCGCCGGTCGGCAGCGTGACCCTCGGTCGAGATGGTTTTGACCACCATGTCGTCGACATAGACTTCCATGTTCCTTCTGATCTGTTGGTGGAAAACCTTGTCCATCAGCCGCTAGTAAGTGGCTCCTATTTATACCCGAAGAGAAGCGCATTAAATTGAATTATGAACATGTTTAACATGAGGGTTGAAAGCACTTTTCTTAATCAGACAAAGTAGATTAGACAATGGACGCAATCCAACATCTGAAGAGTTATTTTATGCAGCAAAAAAGGATAATTTCATTGAGCAGATTATTTCACATATCAACCAATAATTCTAGATAAGAAGAAGTAAATGTATTATTGACTAGTCTTAGATTTACATCATGAGAAATCTACACATAGAGGCTTTTAGCATGATTATCCCTATTTTCCTATATCTTCTATGGTGAACCTAAGACACCTCTCCCTTGTGAGGATCTATTTGAGCAGGGATGCCTTTTTAGGACGAGAATGAGGGAACTTCTACTTGATTTCTAGCAGAAGGTCATTTTTATGGAAGTGGCACGTTTATTAAGTTTTTCCTCCAGATGAACTTGCCTCTCCTTTCTTCTGCCAAAGCCCACTCCTCATTCTTCTTGTGCTTCCACAACACCAACTCTGGAACAATTATTTTCACTTATTTGTCTGTTCCAGGTTGCGTCTTCCTCTGCTTGTTCTGATGTAGAACCCTTGCTTTGAGAAGGTTGGTGTGTACAAAACACCATTCCTTCCATGAACCTTTGAGGAGCATTCGAGAGGACATAGTGCATTAACACCAAGTTAGTGTGAATGACACTTCTAGTGTGGATATGTCAGAGTATCCCACTTTCCTCCATTTGGTTGATATTAGGGTGACACTCTAGATATTTTTCTGACTTTTCCCTCAAGGTGAAGGTATAAGTGCAAGTTATGGCTTTGTGTGTTTTAGTAGGGTTGCTACGTTCATCCATTGTAATGGATGTCGATCATTTGGGAGAGAGTGGAGTATAGGAAATCTAGGAGAGCTTTTGAAGTTCTAGGGTGTGAGTTGTGTTGTGATTCCTAAAAGCTCTATGGGTTTTTATAGCCAGAGAAAGCCTAGAGATTCTTAATTATTTTTAAATATATACTGTACTATCCGTTTAGCCATGCCGAGCTCGAGCTCGGCATCACAGCGTAGGACGACCTTGAATACTCGCTGAGCGATCTCAGTCTAGGCGGGAGGCAATCATCACCGAAACACAAAAGCTGCTGAATGTCAGCTTCATCCGTGAGATCAGGTACACCACGTGGCTGGCGAACGTGGTGTTAGTAAAGAAGAGCTCAGGGAAGTGGTGGATGTGCGTCGATTACACCAACCTGAATAGAGCATGCCCCAAAGACTCATATCCCCTACCGAGCATTGACAGGCTGGTCGACAGAGCGTCAGGGCACGCCCTCCTCAGCTTCCTCGATGCCTATTCCGGGTACAACCAGATAATGATGTACCCACCTGATGGGGTGTATACGTCCTTCATCACTGATCACGTCAATTACTGTTGTAGAGTCATGCCATTCGGTCTCAAAAACGCAGGAGCCACTTACTAGCGGCTGATCGAAGACGGAAAGACAATGGAGGACAGAGAGAAAAGTGTGCACGAAAAGCCAGAGGAAGCAAGAAGTGAGGAGAAAAGAGGCGTGGGGAGAAGAAAAGGTTCTACCCAAATTCAAACGGCCACAACACGTGTCAGTCAGAGGGTACACTTGAACACGCAATAAAGGAGGCCCATTATGACAAAAGGAGCCATCATTGCATACCCGTCACACCCATCAACGCGCAGCCCTCGGTTACTCAAACGAGAAACGACACGCGGCGCAAATGAATAGGCCAGCGTAACCAAAAAGCCATTCCCCCGGGTGAAGCTCGGACTATAGTTCAGAGCTCGGCACCTCGATGCAAAATGATCCCGGGCCTGTAATATGTGTTGACAGCTCGGTATTTGTGACCAGGAGCCCTCGCCCCTGACCGAATTTACTACTCAACAGAAGCCCTAAGGTCGAGTCCGAACCTAGAGACTACATTCTCCCAACCGAGGTCGAATCCGAACCCTGAAGACCGCACCTACCTAGCAAGGTCAAGTTTGAACCCTGTAGAAACAAAAAATGGTGAGGTCTAACCACGAAGCATAAGCCTCCGAAACATCTCATCGGCCCAAAGAGGTCACGCCATCAAACAAATGAACGCACAATCTGGCCACCACACCACCCTCACATTTCCAAAAAGTGGAACAACAACGACAACGTGTACCATTGTAATAAGCAGAAACACGACTCTCTAACGAGCCTGATCTCAACTCCTCGACTCACGGTCTTCGGAGCTCGGGGGGCTAATGTACTATCCGACCTGTGAAACCGAGCTCCGAGCTCGGTATCACGGCACAGGATGATCTCGGGTACACATTGCATGACGTCAGCTCGGCACATAAAGTAAATCATAACTGATCCCAAAGGATCTCGCCCTAGGCGAAATACATTATCCAATCATACTATATCTTATCTCAGGCCCAGAGCCCAAAACAACCTAATTCACACCAAGGTACGTGCATTATTAATATGAGACTCATATTCACACAAACCCTAACTTTAGCATCGGAGTCTCTTTTGCAGGTACCTCCCCCATCTTGGAGCACCAGCACATCACCAAAAGGAGGCTCACCGATCTTACTGGACAGGTCGTCTCCATAACCAAATTCCGGTAAGAACACAAACTAAAGATTTTATATGCATTTTTTAATATTTTTTTAGGTTCGTTCCTGGAGTATCCACCGCCGACAGCAGTGACTAATCTCCTCGCTACGTTGGAGGCACCTCAAAGGGTGGGATAGCTGGCCCCAAGATTTAACGCGGCTGCATACACAAGGCAGGATTCGAACCCCTGACCTTGCTTAAGCGTGGATCAACCCCTACCGCTGAACCACACGCTTGGGGTTATGCATTTTTTAATATTAATGATACCTTGTCTTCATACGAACCAAATTAATTTTATAAAAATTTAATTTACAATAATATATATATATATATTTAAAATTTTATTCTTATGAGTCATTTATCTAATCTAAGTTCAATAATAAAGAGTTGGTAAGATATATTAATGCTTTATTAATAGTCAAACTTTGTCTTAAGAGAATGTTTGAAACCTTGTTCCTTTGCATACATAATTAATAAAAACTAAAACAATAAATATATCGGTAATATTAATGAGAAAGAATAAAAGAATGAAAGTCATAAAAATATTTAATATATTTATATATATTTTAATATTAACAACAATTTTTAAAAAATATATGTAAATTTGGGCCAAAAATAATGTTTAATTTTTATATACTTGATCTTGAATAATTATAAATTTTGTTGTTGCACTACTTTAGAATTAAATCTTTGAAAGCCAGCTAAGAAACTTTTGATTACAAGGAAGCCATCAATAATTTCGTAGAAGCAGCAAGATCGCTTATTTCTAACCACACGCTAGAGATATGTACACATAATAATGAAGAAACTAATTTATTAATTTACAATTATAAACTTTAAATTGAATAATACAAATAAACAATTTCTCTAAAGAAAATCTCGGATGTTGGTGGCGCCTTTTTTATTATTATTTTTTTTACAACATTTTCAATTTTATTATTATATTTCCAGTGGAGCATCGAAAAAGAAATTGCAATGCAATTATTCAAGTTGGTTGCTGTTCACCAAAAGACTCGTCCGAAACAACAATTGCGTCCGCATCCCACCAAGTATCCGCGTCAGATTCCGTTACATTACCTAACGGCGTGCTGACCTTTCTCATGTCCCCGACCATCACAGCGTAACGTCCGTCATCTCTTACGTACACCTTCTGGACACCGCCAGACTCCACGCGCAGAGTCTTTGCCACGGTGGGCCCCCACTCCGCCACCACCGTCGGCTTCCGCCGCCGCAGGCGCGTGTCCCAAATCTCGACTGCCAGGTTCCCGCACACGCCTTCCCCGGCCGACACAACCACCGCAGGCGACGTCGTGGAGCTAGCCGCCGGCGGCGGCGCGTGACTCCCCGAAACGACGCCGTCCTCGTAATCATCGAAATCCAACCCCAGCCCGAAGCCTATGCTGTCCCAGAGCTTCACCACGCTCTTACTATTGGCGAGCTCGGCGAGCGAGAAAATATCCCCGATGCTACGACGTCGTTTGTGCATGCCGTTTTGGTTCCTAAACTCGTCGTCTAAACTACTACTATTATTATTATTATTGGCGGTTCCTCTGACTCGGAAATAGTTGTCTAAGCAGATGAAACTGGAAGAGGCTGAGGGTTCGTCTTCGGGCTCGGACGAAGAGTAGGTTAGGTCGTCGTCGTCGTTTTGGTAGTCGTCGTCGTCGTCGTCAGAGGTGAAAACGTCGTCGTCGTCGACCAGGGAGGGAAGAGAAGGCGCTTTGCTGCGTAGGCGTATGATGAGGATGGTGACTCTGTTGATTATGCTGCCGAAGGTGGCCACTAGGGCGAGAATTACTGCCCCCCATTTGCAGAAATTGTAAGCGATGGAAACCGAGGCGAGGGACGTTGTGATCTGGGAAGGAAAAGATGGGTTTTGCAGAGAGTTGAGACCCACTTGGAGATCGTTGATCCTGTCGATCAGTGGAACTTGCATGTTTGTGGTTTGGATAGAGTGAAAGAGAACAAGGGTTCAGATTTGAGAAGTGGGAGAAAGGGAGAAGGGTTGAGGGGAAGACGGCAGGGATTTATAGGGAAAAGAGACAGATGAGTAATGAATGATTTGTTTAGTTTTAAAATATATTATTACTATTCAAGACATGCACTTTCATATGTTTGGTTAGTTTTGTCCTGATTTACTTAACAAGGACATAATTGATTTTGAAATAAAAAATTTAAATAAATTTGAGTTGATTAAAAAAATTACTTTGATTTTTACTCTCTCTATTTTTTTATATTTAAAATTTATGCACAATAATTTAAAAAATAATTTATATTTTATTTTTTTTAAATATTTATTATTTATTTTTCTATTATATCTTTTAAGTGGTTGAAAAAAATATATATTAAAAATGAATAGATATATTATTAAATAAATACACATTAATTATTAAGGATAAAAAAATAATAATTATCATTAATTTTTAAAAAATAATAATAATAAATTAATAAAAAAAATAATGTCAAAATAATTATAAAAAAAATTAGAAAGAGTATTATTAAATATTATTAAATGAAATCTTAGTAGTATTAGAATTAATTTTAATTAAAATAAATTTTATCCCGAGTAATTTCTTTTATGTATTTGAATCAATTGTGACAAGAGAAATTACAATAATTCAAGTTTTTGTTGATACGATCAATGTAATAAACACATTTGGACAATAAAATAATAAATAAAAAGATAATGTTGTTGGTGAGAATAACTGTGCCACGTAAGAAAAAAGAGAGCAGGCTTTTTGGAGAAAGAAAAGAGAGATTGGAACGGTTGAGTCAGCAGATGCCCAAAACGCGAAAGATGGGACCCACCTCGTAAGAACGGGTCATGCTCAAGTTTAAAATTTGTGGTTGTTAGGTTCATTTATCCCCTTTCCAGTGTGGTTTTGACACGCGGCGACAAGTCATTGCTTTGTCTGTCTTTCGATTTTTTATTAAATTTGATTTTGAGGTGGTCGGTTTTTGAGCTTCGTCACGTTGTGCAGTGGTTGAGTGGTTGTTTTGCTGTCTTATGATTGTTTGTGGTCTCTTCACTTGACTTGGACATCTTTTATCGAAGAATTTTGAGTATTTTTAAACTTTATTTCTATTGTGACACTTTTTCTTTAAGTTTAAATATATTTTTAGTCTATTAAATTTAGAATAAATTTATTTTTGATATCTCAAATTTAAAATTATTGGTTTTAATTTTTGTAATTTAAAAAAAAATATTTTTGTTCTTATAATTAAATTTTGTTAAGAAATTTATTAAATATTATTGCATAAAATCTACTTATTAGTGTCCCTATTAATGAAAATATCACATTAAATCCATTTGATATTGCATAAATGTCTTAATTAGTCACTTTCAAATATGTTATTGGTGACCTAAGGGACTAAAACAAGATTTTTTAAAATTACAGGGACTAAAAACAATAATTTTAAATTCGAAGGAATAAAGACAAATTTGTCTTAAATTTGAGGGACTAAAAATATTGTTCTTGCTTAGAAACACACGTCTTGTTGCTCCTTCTTGATGATCTTCTAAGTCTTCGGTGCCGACCGAATACTATCTCCAAGGGGTGGGGAGGGTACCTGCAAAGGCACTCCGATGATCAAGTAAATGTTCGGTATAGAGCAATAAAAGCTTTTATATTGGATAAAATGTACCTCATTTATGTCCCATCACTTGTGTATTTATAGTGACATATTGGGCTAGGTGGACCTTCAGTCTTGGGAAATGGGTAATGCCTTTGGTTAACCTTAATCTCTCTTAATTAAATTTGATAAACACTGCATAATAGGTATTCTAACCTGCTATGTTCCCCTTGTTAGTTGTCCTTCTTTCGGGTCTTCGACCAGGTTTAATGCCGAAGAGGTATTCGGCCAACCTTGAAGCCGAAGGGGTCTTCGGCCAAGCCAAAGGCCAAGGTGTTTGAATATTTCCCCCTTAGCCAAGCTTAAGGCCGAAGGGGTATTCAGCCAAGCTTAAGGCCGAAGAGTGCTTTAGATGTTTCTCCTTGATGCTTGTTTGTCTACTTGAGTAGTTTTAAGGTCGAGGGGTTATTAGGTCATTTTCGTGACCAAAAAGGTGTTCGACCAAAATAGAAGCCGAGGGGGTGTCGGCTAGGCTTGAGACCGAGGGGTTTGTTGGATGCTTTCGTTCACTTCACCTTTCATGGTAAAGGGGGGATTCAGCTATCCCTTTGGCCGAGGGGGGTATTCGGCCAAGTCCTCAGCCGAAGAGGCATCGTAAACGTGGGGGGTCTTCAGCTTAGGTGCTTTTCTCGGCCTAATGTCCGACCGAGGAGGGTGTCTACTAGTACACTACCCCCAAGCCCTAAGATGAAAGACGAAGGGGTTTGTGATGTGACGTTTGGTGGGTTTAGGGTTTCCGTACGCATCTCGGGAATCGTACCCCTTGGTGATTGTGACAGTTGCATGCTTGGCCACCCTAGGGCTTCGTGCCTTGGCATGATGGCTTTTCATTTCCAAAAGCATTTATGAGGGGCTTTTGGGTTGCCCGGGAATTTGCTATATATATGGTGGTAAAGTGAGGGTCTTTCTCACGCCTAGTATCTGAAAAACACTGCTCCGAAGTCCTCACTACTCTGAGCTGAATACTCGTTAAGGTAGGTCATCTTAGATTTCAGTCGGTTTTTGTTGAGATAATGGCAGCCGAAGGTGTGACATTGTCATCAGGGTCGTCGGTCAGCGCAAGGGTTTCGGCTCATGATGCCGAGGCTGAGGTGTTGGCCTATAGTGCCGAAGTGGAGGGCTTCGGGTTTCCCTTGGGTTGGGACCTATTAGTAATGGGGAATCTGAGAGTTCTTCCGGCTCGGATCTTCCAGATGCCAAGATGAGTCCTCGGGTTTATAGGCAGAAATTCCCCCCTTGTGAGATCCCGGGGTATGAGTGGGTGGATGGAGAGGTGGCGGCCTATTTCTCGCATTTTTATGAGAGGAGTGCCGTGAAGCGCCTTCTTGGTGTTTGTACGTTGGCTCGGTGGGAGGATTCGGATCCTTACCCGGTCATGTCGGGTCGGTGCCGAGCCAAAGGCCCTGGGGGGGCCGACTTGGTGTTTCTTGCGAAGCAGGAAGGCCAAGGGGATTTCTTTTATATGTATGAGTGTTTTTTCAGGGAACTTGGCATGTCACTCCCATTGGATGATTTCCAAATGGGAGTTCTTCGTGTGTTGAACGTTGCGCCGACCCAGTTGCACCCGAATGGATGGGCTTATATGCAAGCATTTCGGGTCCTTTGTAGATACCACTATATAGAGCCCACAGTAGGTCCTTTTTTACATTTTTTCTGTACTCGTCCCTCAAATAAATCCATTAAGTGGTTGTCCCTAATTAGGCATGTCGATTGACCGCTTCTAAGGCCTTTCACTTCGTCTTTTAAAGGGTTCAAATCGGGGTTTGTGAAAGTGATCATAGACCCCGTTGCCGGCCGGAGTTGGTTCTATGATGCCAAGCAGAAGCCTCTTTTCCCTTTTTATTGGACCCAGCAACCTCGGAAATATGGTGACTTTCCGGTGGAGATGATGACCGTGGTTGAGGTTTCGACCTTAGATTACTTGAAAGAGTTACCTCGGGGAATCCCTACTTGGTTTCTGGTGCTTTTGCCCAAATTGCCTCGGCCCCGCTTTGAATTAGAGGGTATGTATTTGTTTTTAGTATCGGTCGTTCTTGTTAAGTTGATGTGTGACTGTTTGATTTTTGCAGGCTAAATGGCGCAACAGGGTCTCGGCTTGTCCTACCGTCAAGCAATGAGGAATCGGGCCCCGGCCGGGACGTCGGTCGAAGACCACCACAGCGTGGCGATTGATCAAACACCAGGAACCGCTGCTACCCCTCAGCCTACTCCTCGAGATGTGGTGCTCCCTGATCCCAATCCAAAAAAGAAAAAGGACAAGGGAAAAAGGAAGGCCGATGCGGCTGGGGGGGAAACGACCTGGGCTAAGCATCGCCGGGCCGAGGGGCCTTCAACTGATTTGGCCATCCCTTCGGCCATCGTTGCCAAAGATTTTTTGTTTGAGGACATTCAGCCGGCCCGGATGATGTCTTCGGACTTGTTGTCGGATCAGGGTCACGGGATGCTTGACTCTGCCACCACTTCGGCCCAATGGGCCATGGCTTGTGAACTTCAAATCAGGGCCACGGTGATACTTCGGAAATTGGCATTGGAGCCCATGGCTAATGTGCACAACCTCCGGAAGAATTTGGAGGAAACCAAGTCGGGCTTCCAACAATCGGTCGAAGCTTATGAAGCCACTTCCAATGAGAAGTTAGCGTTGGAGGCCGAAATGGCTCGTCTGAAAGAGTCTTTGGGCGAAATGGAAGGCCGGGTGATTGCGGCGGAAGACGGCGAACAGATGAGGGTCCAAGAGGTGCAAGAGCTCACCACCTGGGTGCAACAAACCAAGGTCGATCCTGAGGCTGCCATGGCTGCTTTCCAGACCGAGTGTGAAAACAAAATAATTAAAGAGCATGAAGATGGGTTTTGGCATGCAGTCTGGCAGGCTACTCATTTCGGCACTTTTCCCCCGGACTTCTCATTTGAATTGAGCAAAGACTTCTTTCGAGGGGCATATATGGACTTTGCTGATGCCCCCGACAACGTTGAGCCAGATGAGATGGCTCCGCCTAGGTCGGCCCCCCTGGAAGATCCAGGAGCAACCTTGAACGACGATGAGGAGATCGAGCAGACCACTCATGTCGATTGATGGGTCTTGGTGCTTTTTGTTTTTTGGTTGTACATCTGTTTTGGGAAAGGTGTATAGATATAGGGTGCTTTGTTGTTTCCTTCTTTGTGGTTCGGTTATTAGCCACTTTTGATTCTTTTCGGGCCATTTGGGCCATATGATTATTCAACTCTCCAAACGAGGCCACCCTGGTGGAATTCTCGTGGCTTGACCTTAGTTCTGTGTTTGCGAGAAACTCTGGCTTTGCATGCTTCCATGTTGATGAACGCCCGGTTGCGTGCTTCTTCGACCAAGTCAAGTTCAATGTTGAGTGCCTCAACATTGGCTTCCTCATTGAATTTTTGTCGCCTAAGGGAGGGTTCT